AAAATTGATCGAGTGTTTTTCGTTGAAAAATTGACCAATATCGTTCCTTCGAATCGTAGGCGAGGTCGCCAGGACCCAGTGCCATCAGCTGTCAGCAATTACATTTGCAGCCCAACTGGCTAAGTCACATAGGGGAGCCTCTGTATAACTGTGTGTACATTGCCACAGCCGTTATCGGGAGAGAAAACAATCATGGCGTCAAGTGGACAATATCTCTCTTACTTGACTTCGCCCATTTCATAGATTGAGTGGTCATGGTAGTTGAAGAGAGTAAATTCCTGGTCAATACGTCAGACCACCACTGCGGAAAGAGCGTGATTTCCAATGCTATACATTTTTTTCCATTGTCCATTAAATTAAGCCAATAACTGAATCGCATTGCGTGAATGTTGGAATGTCCCCAACATACCCGGATGTAGCAGTGCGTTAAACGACAATATCATAAAGAATATTTTTTAGGTGGCTTGTCCCTTCAGCACGTGGCCGATAGTAGCTATCCACAGCTTCACAGATCTATAGATCTAGGCTTACGGTTATATCACGTTGAAACGATCACCGAAGTTAAGCAAAGTCAAGTCTGGTCAGTACCTAGATGGGTGACAACGTGGGAGTTCCACATGCTTTCAAGTAGGATATGCGGGTGGTATAATGAATAATCTCTCGGAAATGTTAATCGGAGAGCCGAATTCTAATATCAGTTACGCTCAAATGCCATTGGGAAAATAAGAATTCACCTCTTCTCCTCCCCCAGCTATGGATTAATTACTAAGAATTGTATGATTATCATCTAAAAAAATATTACAATCTAAGTTTTTTCTGTCATTAACTAACCTGCAAAGGGTTGATAAGCCGTAAAAAGCGTTTCTGTCAATCAACAATCAATAGGCCTAAGCAACGTCTGTCACATTATTGTCCTTGTTTGACTTCCTTTCATTTACACTAATTCGTTAACTTAGTGAAATCGAATTTGTAATTCACTATGCAGGAAATGTTGCAAGCAATTTCTCATTAAAATATCAAACTAAACCTTGTATGATCTTCAAAGATTATGATTAAAAATTGACTCAACCATGCTATGGGGTCATCAAGATTGCTACCAGTTTATTCTGATAGATCATATTAAGTTAAGCATATATTCTACACCTTTGAGCTAGAATTTCTTTTAAATGTTCCAAACAAAATTTGAAAATTTTTTAATCTAGGTAACGCACTTTCAATTCAAGTAAAAAAAAATGAAATCAGTATTTTCATGTGCGCAGTGTCAAGTTTAAACTTAATTTAACGCAATTCTAAAATATCTACGAAAAAAACAAGCAAACAAAAAACAAAAAAAAAAAAACACTGCGGTCAGTTTCCCTATATCTTAAGGATTGTAAAAAAATATATAATATTTTGGAATTTAGAACAATTTGGGGATTTTTATAATGAAATTATTACGGGGATTAACTTATAATTTTTGCGTATCTCTTTCTTGCTTAGCACGCACGTTGCGCTCTGTCAATAGCTCATAAATAATGAACTATTCCGTTTTGATCACGTGGAAAGACATATCAGAGACGCTACTTGGTTTCAGTGCGAAAATGAAAGAACGAACGAAATGATTCTGTTTTGATCGAGAAGAACAAAGGAAAGACATATCAGAACGCTGTTCGATTTCAGTGAGCAAAAGAAAGAAAGAAAAAAAGAAAGAAAGAAAGAAAGAAAGAAGCAAAGAAAGAAAGAAAGAAAGAAAGAAAGAAGGAAAGAAAGAAAGAAGGAAAACAATATTCAAACAGGAAAACCGTTAAATTTTCAGCGTAGTACTAGCAGGAGATATTCGTCTAAGAACCGCGGGAGTGTTATTCTCATCAAAGAGTGTAAAATGTTTGGGAATATTGATTTTTTTAAAACATTTACTGCCATCATCATCAACGTCGTAACTCTTACAGTCGTAGGGGAACTACATCTAATTCAGCCATAGCAGCAATTTTCATTCACCGAGATTGATTTCGAACCAAGTCTGTAGGACCCAATCTATTCTGCTATTCACTCATAGCTAGAGTGGGAATAGATGGATTCATATCTTTCCCAAGGATGTTAGCATGTAAGTGAATGCAATGAACTCGATTGGAATTAGAACACGGATCTCCGATTCCTCAATCCGAGCCGCTATCCATTACTCCACCGTTCCTAAATTTGCTGTTATAGCTAATGTTAAACATGCGTAGGCGAGATAAAAAAAATGGCAAAATCTACTGCTCAGAACTCTGATGACCCGTCATGCGTAGGATAATTTGAAATCCTTGGATATGGAATTCTGACAGGTATGGATTATCTTTTTTAAAGTTTTAATCTAAGAAGAAAAAAAACGAAAATGGGCGAAAAAGCGCATTACGTTTACAACAGTAGATGACTGAACACTCATTTCCGCTGCCAGTTTCCTTGGCCTACCATGGCTTCAATAGAATGAAGTAAACTACCACATGGCGATAATACGTAGACGGTCGACCTGTTTACATCCGTTCACTCTATCTGTTTCACCCACTCGCTTGCACTAAGAAAAGATGCTTGTTGTTAAGTGTAAAGAAATAAAATGAGTAAAAAGAAATCTGAAGAAAATTGTCTGTGGTTCATTCTACTTATGCAGCAGTTTTGGGATCCCTACAGAGCAATTGCCTTGAGACCGCAAGAATCCAAAGACGACATGCAACGCAACATTGCATATTCAAATAGAAACTTGAACTTGTCGAGATCTCTTCTCCGAGGCATGTTGTGCGATTTGAAACAAAATACACCGAAAAATGTTTTCATAGAAATGTGATAAATTTGCCAATTTTCTAATCGCCTGATTTTGTCATAATTCTTTTTTTATGACAAAAGTACTTGAACCTAACAGATATGGATTTAATTCTTTGCAGGAAGTATAGAAAATTATTGTTTCAATAATGATTTTGGAAAGTCATCTACATATGTTTCTCCCTATTTATGGAGATTCAGTACTCGACAGTCCTTAACAACTTTTTGTCTATCTCTTTTCCTTCAATTTATTTTATAACCTATCTGGCTAAGAAGCTAGCTGGCGAGCTAGTAAGTTATTTTCACACTGCGTGTTACTGTATATCTGTGTTTTAGTTTCTCTTTGGGACAAGAGTAAATATGTGTATATAATTTCGTATAGGATTTAACAGTATAAAATCTTTTTGAGAAGAAAGCATTTGTGTTAGTCCTTTTCTTTCAGATATTCTGTTCAATCCGTGTATTAAGGTATTATTACATCGCAGATATAACAATGCCCATAATCCCACAGTACCCCCATTATATCTATCTATCTATCTATCTATCTATCTATCTATCTATCTCTACCTATATCTATATCTATCTATCTATCTACATCTATCTATCTATCTATCTATCTATCTATCTATCTATATCTATCTATCTAATTAATTCAAAATCCGATTATTATTAACACAAATTGGTGTGGCCGTCTCAGACTTTTCAATTACAAGGTAAACTAAGCTACACCAATATTTTGCTAGAAAACCCTGATAACCACATTTAAATTCATTTATAAATATTTACAGAGTAAATTTGTAAATAGGACGTCAGCCAAAACGCAATCTCAATTGTTTACTCCGTTTTCTCCAGGACATGAACACATTGTAAACCGTAAAAATCGAAATAACAATGATGGTGACAGTCTAAAGACTTCATAGAATAATGTCAATAATTAATCACAGGAATTCATTCAGTTCTCGGAATGGAGAAGAATCCATTGGCTAATATGTTGGAATCGAAATACCAAAGATAAGCACAATCGATGCACTTCATCTCAGATAAGGAGTCAACAATTTCACCTTAATTTTCTTGCAATTTTTCTGTTAGTATTCTCTGTTTGTGGATAACGGTATTTTTTGAAGATTTTTTTTATTTTCAGAATTTAATGGAATGCCTTGATCGGTTAGATTACTCTTCGAGAGAAAATTATTATAGAAAAAAGACCTCACACGCAGCTAATGATTTAGTGTATTATGTCTTCCAAAAGCTAAGCAAAGTATTAAGAAACAGGAATATTTCTTTAGAAACGAAGAAATGAGTACTGAACTGCTATGTAATATTAGTCAACTTATATGCCAGTAAATCAGTAAATTTTAGATAATCTCACCACAGATGAAAGAAGAGACATGAAAAAGCAGAAATGTGGTTCTTTAGAAGGATTCTGAGAATACAATAGACCATTTATGGGAGCAACGTCAAAGTTTCAAAGAAAATGGAAACAAAAAGGACACTTATACTTAACGTCAGGAAAGGGCAGTTAAAACTTCAAAGGCAGGTAATGAGGAAAGAGGGCTTGGAAACTTTTATACTCACAGAACTGATTGAATACAAGAGGGACAGAGAAAAACCACACATTAACTACCTAGCGAGCTTGAGTAAATGGATGGCGAAATTAGGTTTAGGAGGGACATCAAAGAGACAAAATTTATTAAGATTGATCGATTCATTTTCTACGGATTATAAACTCTTTTAAAAAGTTATTTAAAGCCAGAAGAGATTTTTAGAGTGTATGAACTTTGTTTTAGGTAACAATGATTTAATGATAGACATTTTACTAATTAACCCATAGATGGGAGGAGAAGAGGTGGATGCATACCTTTCCCAAGAGTATTTGCGTCCAAGTGAATATAACAAATCCGACTGGAATTCGAACTCGTATCTGCGATTAACATTTCCGCGTCATTATTCATTACACCTCCAACATATCCAAATGGGCACCTCGGCGTGGTGTAATGGTTAGCAAGCTTGTCTTGCTAGATCAGTTACGACTGAAAAGTGAGTTCAATCACGTCTAAGCAATGCTTGGAAAATCTCTAGGGCACCTCGATATTGTGTAATGGTTAGGAAGCTTGTCTTGCTAGATCAATTACGACTGAGTAGTGAGTTCGATCCTCACTGGGTGTCCCATACTTTCGGCCTTGTGCCACATCTAAGCCGGGCTTAGAAAATCGCTATATCCAATCTTACAACACCTGGCATTCCCAAGCGGTCATCCATCCAGGTACTGACCAGGTTCGCATTTGCTTAACTTCGGTGATCGTAGAGGAACCGGTGCCAATATTTTCAAGAGCCAGAAAGGACAGGAAATTGTGGAGAGTCATTATCAACAACGACCGGAGACGACACCGCATATAGAAGAAAGAAAAAAAATTAAAATTATAAGCTGTAATTTTGGAAAGTAAAAATGTAATTAAAATATGATTGAAATCGAATCGAATCGAGAAAATACAAAATTACCGGTTTTCTTCATATGTTGAAAAGATTATGGCGTTTCCGGACTAATTTTTAACTGATTCATTCTTTCTTATCATATGAAATTAAAGTTATCCTGAATGGCCAACTCTTCTAGACTCTTTGGTACTAAAGCATGTGACCCCCTCCGCCAAGTCCCAATCCTTGGTTCATTGTTTTAATTTTTACTAACGATCTTCCTGTCAACTTCGTATCTATGCTGATGACAAAATAATTTACTTCTGTCCCAACTGTAAGTCTGTTCAGTTAGTTAACGTAAAATTGTTGTCTGGTCTCTCATATGACCTACAGTTTTTTCCTAACTGGTGGCAAAGCATAACCTGTTAACTTTAACGCCCCCGAAACAAATCTGCTCTCTATTAATCATCTGAGAGACACCTTTATGCTTTCCATCAGCATGGTTACTGCTAACCTCCAAGAGAATGACTCGTTGCACCTTCTCGTGCTAACATTCTTAGCTGACATGAAGGGGAAAGAGTATATTAAATGCATTACTAGTTCTGCTTTAAAAGTTTGTTCCTTTTGTCGTGCTTGACGATTTTTCTCACCAGAATCTATCTTGCATATCTATTCTCCCACTCTTTGAATATCGCTGCCATATATAGCCCGGTGCTCCTGAAATATATTTAGAGATTCTTGATAAAATCCAAAGAAAAAGCAGCCATATTATTCGTCCTGACATGGCGTTTCCGCTTCAGTCGCTTAACTACCGCACTAAAGTTGCTACCCTGCCCGTTTTCTGTATATAATTTCTTAGTAATTGTTGAGATGAGCACTTCGCCGTGCTACCCAGACTTTATGAATGTGAGCGCAGTACCAGATTAACATCAAAGCCTCATCACCTTACAGTTGAGTTGGTGAGATGTAACCGTAATTTCTATGTTAACAGCTTCTTTTCTCGCACTTCGCGCTTGGGGTACACTCTAGCAGCTGTATGCTTTACAGTCAACTTTGTTCTTCAAAAATTTAAATGTCAATCGCTATCTACCGTCTTCCTGATCCTACTTCTATTGTTCTCTATCATTAATAATGTTTCTTTTTTTTTTAATTATTTCACACCCAGTAAACACCTTGTGTCGCAGTGGCTTTACTGTCTATCTTGGGGTGAATTTGATTAAAATAATAGTTACTCTATTTACATTATTTACATCTTATTATTTACGTCTTTATCCACTTTATCCAGTGGATAATGACGTTGGTGATGAGACCCAAAGGCTTGTGAATTCAATACCAGGCTACAGCAGTGATGAAAAAAAAAATTGAGAGTTAGGGGAAATAACTGAGTACATCTGAGGCATGGTACTTGGAACTAGAACAATCTACCCCGTTGGACGAGATGAGGGGTTCGATTCGAAATTGCAAACACCGGAGCCTACAACTTTGTGAATATGACAATGAAGATGAGAATAAGAGTCTGAATAATGTAAATAATGTAAATAATCATAATACCTCATCTTAGAGCTATAGACAAAATAATCACACTGAATTGAAAAATAGAATGAAAGAGTTTAGATTGGTGTATCTTTTTTTCTATATAACTAAATTCTATTTATAGATTAAAATTTTACCGTATTTGCCAGCGACGAAAGAGAAAAAAAAGCAAACGTGAAAATAATGACCCAACACTTTCCCCTACGTTTCTAAAGTAGGGAAAATCATTGATCATTTTGACCACTTGTGAAGTGGATTTTGTCTTTTTACCCTTACAGTATAAAGACGTACATTTTCTTTCTTTTAAGCGTATAAAATGCTGTGAAGAATATGTGCCTATGGTAAAGTTGCATCAAACACAATGATATTCCAGTTCCACAATTCATTGTTGTCCCACCAGTTTTTTTTTTTCATTCACTGAAATATTGACTGAAGGTCCATTATATGTCCGGAGGGAAAATATTACCCGGCGCTATCTTTTTTTAAATTTTAACCATTGTGTTGAATATATCAAAAACAAACATAATATTAGGTTGGTGCAAAAATAATGACGTAATAATGTCGTTTTGTGACGTATTTTTTAACGTCAAAAAACGACATTATTACGTCATTATTTTTGCACCAACCTAATATAAAGCTTTACTTATAAAAATTCTTTAAAAAAATTTAAACTAAGATACTAAGGGAATCAGAGTGGTGCTGCCTGTGTTTTACTTCCCTGGTTCAACAATTCTGTTGACTTTTCTACGATAGTCTGCAACAGGAGAATTATGTACATATTTTACATTTTTAAAAATGCTATTTCGTTTATTTACTGCCTTAATCGGTGTATAATATATAGATTTAATTAAGAGATTACATAGAGGAATCCCTTTTATCATCTGGTATGGGTAAGTTTTCTCTGGGATTAGCATCGGCCTACGAAAACTCTAACCTTCACACAGCAAATTTTCAAAACTCAGTTCTGGTAAAAAACAACTGACATACGCCTATTCTCGAAACAAAAGCGGAGACATATCTATTTTATCCATTCACAGAGACTTATACAAATACGACAGGAGCATTCTGTACATTATTTTAATTTTTTATGATATTTTGATTATTTAGTGCCTTAATCGGTGTATACTATATAGATTTTGTTATGGGGTCCACCCCTTTTTCATACAAGTGGTCTCGCCCAGTGTGTACTTGTACTGCTGCCGGTGAATACCCGGATGAGAGAGAGCGAGAGAGAGAGAGAGAGAGAGAGAGAGAGATACTGATACAGTGATACAGTGAGAGAGTGAGGTAACCGCTTTGTAGGAGTCAGTTGCGAGCACGTAGACTCAGAAGGAAGTCCTACTTTGATACTGAATTTCCCAGACTGTATATATATTATTATTACTACTAACCGCATTTCTGGATCTACTAACCGTATTACCAATTGTATTATTACGTCAATACATTTATTTGCTATATTTCATTCCTGCGTTTGTCATTCATTTGAGACCGGATTTCATCCCGGAATCAACAACAGATTTAACTAAGAGATCACATAAAGGAATCCCTTTTATCATCTGGTACAGATAAGTTTTTTTCTGGGGTTAGCATGGCATACGAAAACTCTAAACTTCACACAGCGAATTTTCAAGTCTTATTTCTGGAGGAAAACTGCTTCGGTAAATACCGTAAATATGTTATGGAACTTCCAAGATTCCATCTGATATCGAACAAATATTGAACTTTAAGCAAAATATCACTATATGGAGAAAGAATTGTTCCAGGGAGATGAGGTATTATGATTATTTACATTATTCACATTATTCGGGCTGTTATGCTCATCTTCATTGCCATATTCACAATGTTTCGGCCGTTGTACGCTCCGGCCTTCTTCAGGTGATTGGAATTTCGAACCGAACCTCTTAATTCGTCCACCGGGGTAGATTTTTCTAGTTTCACGTGCCATGCCTCATCCAGATGTCTCAGTTATTTTCTTTAACTCTCAACTCTCTGCTGTAGCCTGGTATTGAAATATCGACTCCCAAGCAAATAAAGTTTAAATTAACACCTTTTAAGGGTGATTCATGTCAATAGTTCTGCTCACAGATTTTTCTTAAACGTTACATATAGATAAACAAAATTAAATTTATGTATAGATTATATTATGTGAATACTATAATTTTTATATATCATGAATTTTTCTTTGAATTTCTGAAATAGTTATCGCTATTTAAAATATATTCGGACTATCGCCCCAACATTTTCGACAGTTGTGCTATAGAAGACCTACAGGAAATTCCAAACAGAACCATTTTTTTTTATTTAATCTACGGAGGGATATCATCTAGTCAGTATTTTTATTTAGTACTGTTCAGTTATTGTTCGCCCGTTGCAAGTACACGATGCCCGACATAGTGATTGAACTCACAACCACCTTTTGTGTGCATTGAATTGCACATATCCCTTTTCATTGTGTGTTGACAAACTGGGCAAAATAACTGACATACGTCTATTCTCGAAACAAAGGCGGAGATATATGTATTTTATCCATTCACAGAGACTTACACAGATACGGTAATGAAGAATCGCATGTTGAAATAGATAAAAATATATACAAACATTTATATCAGGAGATAGAAACATAGGAACATTGTTGTAGCATACCTACCGACTATAAAGGGTAGGTCCCCATTTACATAAATACAGTAGTAAATACTGTATGTTGGTCTGCAGTCAGAGATTCCTCCCAAGCTGTGCTGGTCAAACGCTCTGCCTCTGACTAGATTGGATCCCCAGACGAGTCTATATAGAAGGGCAGAGTTGTGTCTCGGAAAACAGCTACCGGACCCCGTTTTATACGAGATCTACGGAGAATTTATTGGCCGAGCTGACGGGCTCGGATACTCCACATTAAATTCGGTATTGTGCCACATCTGAACGCGTAGGGCGGTTGGTAGATATCCTGCAATTAGAGATTCATTGTGGAATTCATTTGAATCACTTCTAGCAGTGGACTATTTTTTCTACACGTTGCTGGCGAATCTTATATGTGTTGTTCTTGTCCTAAGTATTATCGTTCATTACCAACCTTCGCGTGATTAATCTATTCAGTAAACTTTACTATGTTACAGCACAACTTAGGCTGGTATAGAGATAGAAGCCTACACATACACTCCCCACTTATATATACATATATAGAAAGGTCGCAAGAGAACGCACACTATAGTTCAAAAGTTTGAAGAAACCCCCAGAATTAGCAATATAATAGAAGAGTGAAAAACAAAAGGAAAAAGAACTCTTAGAATCATTGAAAAAAGAATGGAATCAAAGACCAAACATACTCTTTAAGAAACTTTTGCAATGATTGCCAAAAAATTGTGTCATCAAAACTAA